GTGATTTATTTCCACTACAAATACTTGGCTTTGAAATGTCCGCTGAAGGCTCTCAAAAAGGAACAACACCATGTAACCCATGGCAATAAAGTACAATAATACTTCAGCTATATTTACCACCATCATCTTATGCCTATTTAAAATATTAAGTTTATTTGTTTATTAATTTGTATATTAGGCCTCAAATATTTTTGGGGAGTCAGGGTTTATTTTCAAACACATTCCATGGCTGTGGTTCAGATGTTGTATATTTCTGGTGTTTGCTAATGCAAACATCACAATTTTTATTGCTTATACTTAGGGTGATTTGATCAAACCCCTAACTGTAAGTGTTCAACTTTGGCTTGTACCTCACTGTCCTGCACTGTTTGTGCTAAGGACAAGAATAATATTTAAAATTGTGCAACATGTTTTTACTTTTCTAATTGTAACAACCTCATTTTTATATGGTGAAATTGAATTCTTCTGACAGTTTTGAGTTTTATTAAAATTATCCACTGGTCTTCCATAGTGGCATACATCTAGGTCATGATAACTAGTTAAAAGCACACATATAGCACCTCAATATCATAGTAAAATTGTAACTATATGGTTTCTAGGTATTTGTATGTAAAATAGTAGTGTTAATACATTTAGTATAAATGCACAAACGCTATAGCTTAATCACAAAAAATACTTTAATTATACTTCATTACTCCTTTAATACATGTCTACATTAATAATATAATAAAATTCCCTATGAATATCCCACATTTCTGCCACAATACCATGGTGCAGTTAGTGTTACAGTAAATCCATGGTAAATGATGGTGATTTGTAGATTGAAAAGCCTTCTGACTATCGTTGTGCACAGTGTTTCTCCTGTTTGTTAGCGCTGTTTTATCTGGCTTTAAACTAAATCATTGATTCGCTGAATTCAGGCGCTTCACACTGTATCTCACAGTGCTGCTTAGTGCCGTGTGACTGAGACTTGAAAAACGCATCTGCTTTAATAAGCTCACGCTGCGCTGCCATTTGAACTTTGGCAGTGGACAGCATGGGCAAACACCACCCATAAAAATGATTTAAAAAATCTAGTTCAAAGTTGCTGTTGTGTTACATTAGGCATATTTGAACTTGTTGCTAAAGGATGCTTGGAGAAATAAACCTGGTCTAAATTGTGAACAAACCTGAATGGCATTTACAGTACATTGTGCCACTGAAAATTCAGCTCATATGCAAAGCCATTTCTCACAACAAAAATTGGGAAATGTCTGACTGCCTTTTGCTAAAAAGACCAGCATGATGCTGGATGACCAAGGGAGGCTAATTAAGACAGTTAAGATGCCTACAGGGACACCAGCATCCAATGCTGGTGACTATCAGTACTGTGATGGTAGTAAATGATCTAATTTCAAGGTGAAGCGGATCAGACGAATGTGCTTTGATCTGCAATTCACACACCATCAAGTTCTTGTTCTATAATTAGCTCTGGACGCACTTGACATCTTGTAAAACTTCATGGAAGTGCTGAGTCAGAAACCTGGAGTATAGAAAATGTGCACATATGCACTGCAACTCTCTCACGGACTCATCTGGTGTCACCTGTCATTGCGGAGTCATTCAGAATGGGTCCAGCTGTCACTGCTGATACACACCTCACATCCTGACACATGGTGGACACGATATATCCACAGCTGTCATCTCTAGGGACGCTCTCTCTTGGCTCTGAGATGAAGGAATATGCTGGAGGTTTCTCACAGATTGTGACAGGATACAAGGTGTTTGGCGCATTGACGCTGTGGAAGAAAACTGGCTCATCTGTCTCTGCAGGAGAGTACCAGCGAGTGGCTCTAATCTTTCATCTTCTCCCATCTCTGGACATTTTTATCGAGCACATTCACTATTTCCTGATGCTAAAAGTGACAACTTTAGATTCTGTGTATTGTGAAGCATTGAGCAAAACCTCTGGTGACTGACAGTAAAAGTAATTTATAGATGTTTTTATCAAAAGCAACTGCACACTTATCAGAAGATGCCTCCCTTAAAGCAGCAGTCTTCAAAGTTAACTGGGACTATTGCAAAGCTTCAACAAATACAAGTGCTCTTACAACCATACATTTGAACTACACAGTTATACAGCTGCTCCTTGTAAATCAGGCAGCTACCAGTCCCATTAAGAGACCAGTAACATCATGATCTGGCTTTGATGTAATGGTCAGGAATGTATATATATATATATATATAGATAGATAAATAGCAATAAATTCACATATACACTACTGTTCAAATGTTTGGAGTCGGTAAGAGCCTTATGCTCACCAAGGCTGCATTATTTGATCAAAAATACCAGCAGTAATATTGTAGCATGCAGTCTTAATATATAATTACATTTGAGCTACATGAAAATAAAAATATGTATAATGAGCAGCATGGAAGAAAAAAAAGATTTGAAGACTAGATATTTATTTAGTATAAACTATTTGCATTTGAAGTTTCAACTTAGTATTCGCCGGTAGTTTGAGACTCGTGACTTATAGGGCAACCTTCAAGGACATCAATCCAGGAACTTTCTGGTCACAAACCTTAACTTCATCCTACTGTATGTGACAGTGATGTCACAATCTCTACCTGAACTTGATTTCTATTACAAACAAAGCACATCTCTTAGACCTGACATAATGTCCCATGTTTCCTGTGTTAGGTGTTTCACATTTTAGATTATTGTTTGTCGTCATATTGAAGTGTTTCGCCAGCAGTTGGCTAGAATTTAAGGGCATATTTGAGGGTTTCATGTTGAATACCTATTTTTGGTGTACACATTGGCTTCACTTCCAAGTGCTTATGTGCTATGCCTTTAAAAGGCAAAGCAAACCCAACACTGAGACATTAGCCGTTTTAACAGGTCTCTGAAAATAATGTAATTAAATACCTCACTTACCTCAAAATACCTTGAGCTGAACAATCAAATCAGGAATGTGATAACCTACGCACATTTGATGACGTTTTTTTTTTTTTTTGAGGGGGGGTATACTAATCAGTCTAAGGTGTTTCTATTCCAGCAATCCTGTTTCAGATGCTACTCTGAAGGAGTGTTTCATAACAAGTGTGCTTTTATGTATTTAATATGCTATTTAAACAGCTTTAAAACTTTCGTTAAAGTACTTTTTCCTATCCCATTTAAAGTCATTCATTAAGATGGAAGGGGTTTGTGAAACCTGCTTTAAAACATAACTTGTTATTTATTTATTTGTTTGTTTGCAATTTTGCTGCTAGTGACTGAAATTACACATCTCACCTCTAAGGTTACAAATAAAATCTTCAGAGGTCTTCTAAAGCAATGACAGGAATGTGATAACCTACGCCCCTTTTGTGGCGTTTTTTTTTTTTTTTGAGGGGGGGTATACTAATCAGTCTAAGGTGTTTCTATTCCAGCAATCCTGTTTCAGATGCTACTCTGAAGGAGTGTTTCATTACAAGTGTGCTTTTATGTATTTAATATGCTATTTAAACAGCTTTAAAACTTTCGTTAAAGTACTTTTTCCTATCCCATTTAAAGTCATTCATTAAGATGGAAGGGGTTTGTGAAACCTGCTTTAAAACATAACTTGTTATTTATTTATTTGCAATTTTGCTGCTAGTGACTGAAATTACACATCTCACCTCTAAGGTTACAAATAAAATCTTCAGAGGTCTTCTAAAGCAATGAAAATTAATAAGAAGCTATTATATCAATACAAAAATAATAAGCATAATGTTTTAAAGGGATAGTCCACCCAAAAATGTAAATTTTGTCATCACTTACTCACCCTCATTTTGTTCTGAATCTGTGTGAGTGACTGTCTTTTGTGTTCTTCGTTTTGAAGAACATTTTTCAAAATATATTTTGTTATATATAAAGCAAGAAAGAAATTAATGCAGGTTTGAGTAAACGTGAGGGTTAAATTTACATTTTTTGAAATTTAAATGTATGTATTTGGCAGACACATTTATCCAAAGTGAATTATATTGCATTCAAGGCTAGTGACTGAAATTACACATCTCACCTCTAAGGTTACAAATAAAATCTTCAGAGGTCTTCTAAAGCAATGAAAATTAATAAGAAGCTATTATATCAATACAAAAATAATAAGCATAATGTTTTAAAGGGATAGTCCACCCAAAAATGTAAATTTTGTCATCACTTACTCACCCTCATTTTGTTCTGAATCTGTGTGAGTGACTGTCTTTTGTGTTCTTCGTTTTGAAGAACATTTTTCAAAATATATTTTGTTATATATAAAGCAGGTTTGAGTAAACGTGAGGGTTAAATTTACATTTTTTGAAATTTTAATGTATGTATTTGGCAGACACATTTATCCAAAGTGAATTATATTGCATTCAATGTATGCATTTTTATCAATTCCTGCTCTTCCTAGAAATCAAAACCATGACCTGGTCATGCTAGCACCATGCTCTACTGTTAGAACTACAGGAAGGCCAGAATTATAAATTCAATTATGACAGAATTTTTATTTTGGGGTGAACTATCCCCAAGTCCTCATGGAGAAGGTTAGAATGCATGAGGCTGAGAGTGCTATGAGTTACCCAGAGCCAGCAGGACTGATTACTGAATTGAGAGACATAAAATTGCTTTCATCAGTTCCTCTCCTGCACAGGAAATGAATATTAAGTAGACTCAGGCATTCCAGTTCTGGCTGAGCTGTTTGGATGTTCTTTGGGGCATGCCTAGTCCAAAGACTGCTCTGTCTCATAAAGAATACAATGATGTTCATCCTGTCAGCGGTATACTGACATTACTTGCAATCATTCTCTCATGGCCCTGATAAGATTGATATTGGTGGAACAGGTCTTGCTCGTTTCTGCCACAGTAAAAAAAAAAAAAAAAGCAAAGCATTCCTGCTCAACTTTCTTTGTCCTCTATGAAGACATATGAATTATTCATGCTTTGACATTTGCCAGGACAGAATTGAAATATTTATCCCTTATTAATTTACCTTGTTTATTTTTTTGTCTTTCAGGAAATGTTCGAGGCGCTCTTTCTCGCGTACGATGAGGGTGTGACGTTCCAGCAGTTTAAGAGCTTCCGACGTGTACGAATCAATTTTAGTAACCCCAAAGCAGCAGCCAGTGCTAGAATAGAGCTGCACGAGACACCTTTCAGAGGAAAGAAACTTAAACTCTATTTTGCCCAGGTGAGAAGTGGCTTAGGTTGGCCAAAATTTCTGTAATCTTTGTATTCCTAAACAGGGTATAGTTCAGAAAAAAGTACATTTAGAAGTGACACGCAGAACAACAGGTTAACATACAAACTAAGCATTTGTCAAGTAATATCATGTTTCTGCCTGATTAGATCTGAATCGAGATTTGATTAAACGAGTATATTTCAATAATATGCTGCTCAAAGAGTGTAATTTCTCTGCACCACATGGAATCAAAAATTACTAGAAAAGACAAAACAAACTTTTATAGTGCCATGCATGAACATTTAAAAAAGTTTTGATAGAATGAACTATAGAACGGTAGAAAGATACTGAGACATTAGGGAGTCTTACCTTTCTCAGTAAGCGGGAAATCAACTCATATTCAGGATTTGACCATTTTGGTAAGGCAGAATCCACTGGCTGGAGCAGACAGCTCTGAAATAGATGCATTCTGATAGTTGGTATTAGCTGCTCACCAGAGTAACTGCCCAAATCAAGTTGACATTGTTGTTGCAAAATGAGGGTTCAAATGAAGGACATCTTGAATATGAGTGGTGTACTGCAGGGTTATTTGCATTTCAGAACTGAGTTGAGTAACAGGATACAGAACTGCAATTCAAATGCAAATGTAAGGATGTTGAATTAAAATGAACTGAAATTCAAATACATTCATATGACTAAATTTTATATAGCCTTTTCTGAACATTTAAAACAGGTTTAAAAAGTGTTAAAGTTTAAAGATTTTAGGCTTTATGGATAGATAGATAGAACAGTTTGATAGATAGATAGAACAGTTCGATAGATAGATAGACAGACAGACAGACTCGTGAACTGAATGGGAACCAATTGTTAAATTCTTTTTTAAATTCATTCTAAATTAAATATAGAATATTGAAAACTGTTTATGCAAAATGTTCAAAAAACAAAGTCCTCCGATTTTGAACATGTAGTACTAGCACATATTTGCTAATGACTACTTCAGAAACATCTGGTTAGATTATCAAGTGTTCCAGTTAGATCTTTGTTTGACTGCATCCTGGACTAACACTCTCTGGCTCTCAGGTGCAGAACCCAGCATCCGAAGGAGACAATTTGCACCTGGCTCCTCCCCAGCCTTCCAAACAGTTCCTCATCTCTCCTCCTGGCTCACCTCCAGTTGGCTGGCAACAGATTGACGAGACCACACCAGTTATTAACTACGACCTGCTTTATGCAGTTGCCAAGCTTGGCCCAGGTCAGTTACAACTCACCAGTCTTTACTCTCAAACTTTGACATTATCCCAGATCATCATGCACTGGAATGAAAGGTCTTACACACACCTGAACTCTAAAGTTCAGGGTTTCGTGCTGGGACGTCACGTAGCATGCTACAAATCCTTATCCTCTCAAATCAAGCACATTCATTACTCACTCGGTTAGCCATTGTCTTGAATTGTCCTCTTCACTGCAGTGCAGATGATTACGTCCACCATCCTGCTCCTAATCAATGCACACTCTTCTTCGGCTGACCTTCAGGGGTGTGTATGTGTGTGAGCGACTCCCACTGTGCCCTGATGAGCAGTTATTGTAGTCAGTGCTTCTGGAGCTGTAATGTGTTTTGATTAAAGCTGCCGTGTAGATGCTTCTGTTTATGTGGGTGTTTGACAGTGCAGACGGTGGCTATGTTTGGTATGGACCACACACACACTTTCATACAGTGGGCCTGTGAGTGCCCTGGCTCTCATGGGAACAGCTCAGCCATCTTGGAGTAAATAAGCACATTACAAAGCACTGCTGGGTGACCTTTTCAGTGGTTCTGGGCATCTCCAGTTCCCAATTAATGGGCTACCATGAATTTTCTGTAAGGGTTTTTTATAGCATCATGTATTAAATTGATCAGATGATGACAGTTCTTCCATAACGTTATGTAACTTTGTAGTTAGGTTAGCCATAAATCATCTTTGTCCTTGTCTTTCCATTGTCCACCACTACTTTACGCTTACAAAAAAACACTGTGGTGGTACTATGGTAGCAGCAGATGATAATTTCATGATATAACCAACATGTTGTTGTCTAATAAGCCAAGTAATACAGGAAACACTTTACAATAAGCTTCTCTATGTTAACATTAGCCTAGATAATGCAATAGTTAATGTGAACTAACACATTTTAGTTCAATTTTACTAAATGTTAATTTCTACATATATATTTGAACATTTCAAGGTGTATGAATTACATTCGCAACTTACTGTGACCCCCTTCCCCTCCTCTCACCTCCCTGCTGAACGTGATCGAACATATGCATGTTTCACAAAATCAGATGGATTTTCATTTCATGCTCGCATTAAGACTTGTTTTCATATCTTGAATATAAGTCTATTTTGTCTTACTGTGGACTGGCATATTTTTTCCATGTTTTAAACCTGTTTATACCTGCTAGTGCAATAAGACAAAATAATGTGCACTTATATTACAAAATGTAAATGTCTAAATATTTTGTGTTACTTCTCATGTAAATTTATCTCACTTCAAGGACATTTTAACAAGAAAATAAGACAAAATACTAGTTAAGAATAGGATTTTGCAGTATAGAAAGAGCAAGAAGATGATACGATATAGAAGAGGCCAGAGAGAGAGCTTTCTGCAGACATGCTTTGAACATATCAGTCCTGTATAATGCATCAGCACAGGCAGATCTGCCATCATTGACTCTTGCCTCATGAATATCATTCTTCTCCATCAAAGCCATATCAACAGGCCCATGCAATGACCTTGTATAAACGACGCAGACTGAATTTCTGCTCTCTGCCGATTTCCAATAATACTAGACAATTCCAGCCATCAGCTCAGAATTGCTCTGAATCCATCAGCCTTTATGTGCGGGACTGGATTTTTCCAAACTCAAGCCTAACACATTGTTATTGTCAGTTACTTTCACAGCTGGTTTAGACTAAACAATACATCTGAGTGACTTTTTTTACCCATAAGAGTGCCATGCGGTTTCTCGTAATGCATCTAAATTTGTCTGTATTATATCACTCACTGATCCATCTGCTGCCCTGGCAGACGCATCATCATCTTGTGTTCCCATCTAAACAGCTGCTCAGCACATTCAGCCCATCTTGCCTCATTTTGCAATCGAGCAGCTTTAGAGCATGTTGAGCACATGAGTATATGACAGTACTCAGCCACAGGGAAGCCAGGCCTAAAAGCTCTGGTTGGCAGTACATCACTTATGGAACCAGGTCAATATTGAATGTCACCCTCTGTTTGTTTGGTCTATTTTTAGCTGACAGTGTAAAAGGCGTTTGGGGATTATGGAGTAGGAACATTTGAATTATGCAACAGGGCTTGGCATTATGGACTCTCAGCCATCAAACCCCCAAGGGATCAATTTCAAAATCTCGTGAAAACATCCTGCTGAATTCTAAATCTCTCTCTGTCTGGCTCTCTCTAACTAAGTATGAAGAATGTTTAAGCATAATTCTGATGGTTTAACCTATATTATTTATGTAATAGAGCTAAGTGAGGTGTAAACATAGCTTATCAGAGTTGGTACAGCGCTTACTCTGTTGTTCAGACAAATACTTTACATAGTTAAAAGCTTTTACAGCTGTGATGATATGAGTCACTGTGAGATGCAAGGCTAACATGCAGATGGCACAACCAGATCTAGGACAATGAGAAGATAACTCATTGTATTAAGTTCAGGTCACATACCATCTGGACCAATACAGCTAGTTATTCCTTAAGAAATTCCCAGGCTTACTACAACTTGAAACAAAATTATTTTCACTTCTCCCATAGTAAAAAAGAAAACAAAAATGCTTATTGATCTGACAATAATGAGTTGCAAATTTGCATCAAAAATAAAATGATGTATTGTTGTCAAGCATATGAATGAATTTAAATAATTAAATAATTGAAAAAGTACTTTTAAATTAAATAAAGTTTGATTTTGTGATTTAATTTGTTTTTTGTGTATTATTAAATTAGTTATTTTAAACAATTGAATAATTATTAATTTTAAAATTAATTCAAACATCAAATGTAAATTAATTGAATTATTATTGAATTATTATTTATATCAATTCATATGTTTGACAACACTGATAGCACCACAAAAAACATGCAGAGCCTCAAGCTGTTCACCAACAATCTTCCTGAATTGACATGAAGGCAACTGACAAGACAATGAAAAATATAAGTGTTACATATTTTACATATTCTGAATGGCTTTGCAGGGACTGACTGTTTATGCTAACCAGCAAAGCCTTAAATGCTTGATTTAGCTCACCACACCGCAACACGCTCAATGGTAAAATGCAGCCTAGCTTGCATATCATACTGTTTTACATCACAGTGACACATACAACACTTGCTACTGTACGTGTATGTGTGTGTGTAGAGCCCAGAGCGGGACATTGAAAGCGCTTCACTTCTCTGGTGGTTTCACAGCCTGTTCTGAGATCAGCCAGTCAGGAGTGTTTACACATGTTTAGGGTGAGATGAAAAGCCACAGACTGGTCCTAGAAAGAATGGTTTTCAGTTTGTTTATTTGTGAATCTCTGCTTATTGCATAATGCTGATAAAATGCTTGAGTTTGTGATTAATTTTGTAATAATGGAAAACAACTCTTTCCTTTGCTGAGTAGGAATTAATTTTAAGGACATTACATGACAGAATACCAATACTAAACAATATTAAGAAATGCAAATTTGATGACTTTTTGACTAATAACTACACTAAACAACATTCACTTGTCACATTAGATTCCGTCGTATTTGTAAAATGAAATCAATAGCAAACATAAATTGTCTGAGGATAAAACGTCATATTGAGTGTATGTATGCTTGTATTAAATCAATCTGAACTCAATTACAGGATGGGAGATCACACTCCAGAGATCAAGCTAGCATCTTGAGACACATTTAACAATTAATACCATGCTTTAAGTCTTTAAGCTACTACAATTAAGCGTGAATTTAGAGAACAGTACATTATTGCTATTGATTACCACTTAATTACCTGACAGAGGAATCTAAATGAAGAAAGTGCAGCACTGAACTGAGTTAAACAAGGCCTTATGTCTACAGCAGATGCAGTGGGAAAGGACAGATATATATATATATATATATATATATATATACCTTATTATATTTTGTTCTAAAATGGAGAGGAAACTTAATTCCAACCTAATGCAAAAATTTTATGAAAAGTAAAAAAATTTAAATCAAGTTCACAATAGTCAACAATATAAAAACATCAGGGAATTAACATTTTAGTTACATATTTTAACTAAAATATTTGAATAAAAGAAAAATGTTCAGAATTATGAACAAATCAAACTAAGTGACTCTGTTTTTGCTACTGAAGTTTAAATCAGAGATGCAAGATAAAGCATGCTAAACTAAATAATCAAATACAAGGCATGAAAAACACTGATGCCAATAAAATCATCACAAATATTCAATATATTGGCCAGCCCTAATTTCAATTTTCATTTTACATACCAGGCCATTTGACTGAGACCAAGTGATTGTATAAGAGTTGTGATACAAGACCAGTTTTGCCGCTTCAGTGAATCACAGTCTAAATGAATCGGAGATGTGCTTTGTGCTCTGACGTTTCATTGCCTTTAACTTTCAGTTTTGACCTTATGTGTCCATGTTGGGCTTCAGTCACAAAGCTGGTGCATGTTAATAGCAACTGAAGGCAATTAGGGAACAGAGGAGACGATACAAACGAGTGAGCAATCAACAGCACTCAAGTGAAACCATGTGGTAAGCTAAACAAACAGCCCATTCAGCTCAGGCACCTCGACTGCGTTAGACTGCTGTCGGATGGCAATAATGATTGTGGTTGTTGTGGAAGGAAGCTTTTTTCCATTGTTAAGCGTGTGTTTCCATACACACGTTTGTGTCGGAGAGGCTGCGTTTCCACACGGCTCGCACTGAAATTGTACAGTACAACAATACACGTACACACTCCAGCTCATTAAAGCAAAGCGCTTTTGTTGTTCCCTGCTCTGTTTACAAGGTGCATACCCAGCCGCCTCACCCTGAGAAAGCAAAAGCACTTAATGAAATATTCCTGCTGCATCTGTGGACGCTTAGATAGCAGAGCTGGAGCCAAGCATGTGTGCAGGGCCCAGAGAGGGTTCTTATAGCTACACAAAGCACAAGAACTATGGGAAGGAACACCTGTGAACCTGATCTGGGACATAAAGAGAGCTTACGCATTATACTTGCGCTGATTACAGAGCTCAAACTATGTGCTATATGTCTCTTTTTTTTTGCATAAATGTGTTGAGAACTGTCAGGCACAACAGTTTCTTCAAAATAAGGGCCAGGTTTCCCACTGTCACCTAAAAATACTTGAACCCAAAAGTACACGTTTCAGTTCTGATGTACATTTTTGAGACCATCACCTGTGGTGTAATTGCCCATAACTGGTCACTCTGGAAGCGCATTAAAATGATGTCAGGACAACACTGATTGCACCATGACAGATGGCTCTATGAGAACACAAACAGCTCCAAACCCTTCATTACAGACTATCCTGAGCTAAAAGGCAGCAGAAATTCATTCAAAAATATTAATTTTATGCTTTCAAGAACACTCACACTATCAAGAAATAATTAAGAGTTGTAATAATTAAAAAAAATACATAAAAATGCATTAAGTCTGATGTGGTTAATTTTACTACACTACTGTTCAAAGGTTTTGGTTCAGTACGATATATTTATTTATTTAATTTTTTAAAGAAATTATTACTTTTATTCAGCAAGGATGCATTTCTTTGATCGAAAGTGACAGTAAAGACATTTATAATGTTATAAGACTTCAATGTCAAATAAATGCTGTTCTTTTGAAATATCTATTCATCAGAAAATGCTGAAAAATTGCTAAATGCATAAGAGATTTCTTTCAAAAACATTAAAAATCTTACCGACCTCAAACTTTTAAATGGCACTGTATGTTCATTGTTAATTCATGTTTATTTATAATCATTAAATGGTGCAAATTTATACAACTTGAAATGTTAAAAATAAATAATCGAATTTATTAATGAATAAATAAATGCTGTAAAACTATTGTCCGTGTTAGCAATTGCAACTAGTATTCATGCTTCATGGATAAATATGTTACAAATGTGTGCCTTTGAGGGTACTGCCTCTTATCTGTGAAAAGCTAAAGGTACAATTTTTGAAAAAAAAAATTCAGTGCTCATCAAAATGTGTGGAAACCCAGCCTCTCTGAAAGGTTATAGTGCATAATGCATATGCATAACACTTGCATAATATCAATGGATCAAAGTACTGTACAGCATAGCTCCTCACTTTTTACTATTTGAGGGTATTTTCAAACACATTGGCAGATGGCTGACACCAAATACATGGCAATTTGCGTGAGTCATTATCCATTCACTGGCTGTTATTCAGTCTGCAGCTGTGCTTATCCGATTGGATCTGTTCCTTTGTACGCTCCTGCTTGTATGGCATTCTTGTTGCCATAAAGGATTTTTTTTTTTTTTTCAATCAGAAGAGGGGGTTTATTTTTGGGACGGTTGCTAAGGAATGCAGAAATTGTCATTTGTGTTTTTGGAGAGGAGGGCTTTAAAAGGATGAAGGGAAGTGTTTTGCCCCTTTCGAAAGAATGCTCTAAAAATACCTCACACCGTTTTCCTGCGCCGGCCCACTGAATCTACACTAACCGGACGAAATCCATCTGGTCTTTCGGCGGTCACACTCGCTCCCCACCTCTCTCCTTCTCAGCTGTTGGGTCTTCAGAGGTGCACGGCTGTCATGCACACACACATGGCTCTGGATGAGCGGTGCCCATGAATTGGAGGATAGAGCTGGGGAGATGTGCTCCGCATGCCAATGAGATCACTGCCGTTTTAATAAAGACTCATTTTTGCTGATTTATTAAAGATGGCTATGCAACATTACCACACAATCTTATGTTTTTATCCTCTCGTAAGGTTTCTCATGGTCTAGGAAGACTTTAAGGTTTCATTTCTGCGTTAATGAGCTTGATTGCTCGCTCTTTCTCTCTTCGGCTGTCTGACCCTTGACGTCAGTATGCAGCATTGACGTCATGCCCAGGTCTCGGGGAGAGGCTGGGCCCTCAGGAGGCTATGCAGGAGAAGAGGAATGCGAGGGAGATTGTAAATTTGTAGGAACATAGCTGAGGAATTGATTGAACGAATGCGTTTTGCATGAATAAAACATAAGACGCGTAACTGATAGAGGAATTAGGTCAAAACAGTGAGAAGATAAAAAGTTTGGATACACGCGTTTGCTTGTGTGCAAGAAAATATGAGCAGCACACAGGATAAAACGTAAGGAAAAAATGGGACTAGGGAAAAGACAGACAGCGTAAGCCAGAGATTTCCAGAAAAAATTAAGATAAGAGGGTCTTTAGAGTGTGCTGATCCTCTGGGTGACCACAATGCACTGCACACTCATGCCGCCCAAAGGCACAGTGGTAAACTTTGATTTCGCTTCCTGCTCTGTTCCATCCTGCAAACATACACACAGTGTATTCGTCCACTCGTGCAACAAGGATGGAGAGATGTAGAAAAGCAGCTTATCTCTTGTGAATGTGTGCAGTTCTAGTTTTAATTACCTCAAGTGTGGAAACCCCTCCAAACCCCTCTCTGACGGACAGGCTCTATGGATTTCTAGGTTTCCATTCCGGTAGTGTTACAAGGATTTTCAGCACTGGATATAGAGCACCGTTCCCTAATGGATTCTGTGTATAAGTTTAATAATGCTTGTAATGCTATGGATCATTGCAGGTTTTCTCTGGCAAAACCGCAATTATAGCCAGCCTAAAATAGCCTCAATCTTCTCCCATTGAGTTCTGGAGAGAGAGTGCCCTCTAGGCCTGATTGTTAGTGTTGCAGGATAAATTACTATAATATAGTATTTTCCCCTGCAATACTAACAATCAGACAGTTATAAAGTGACTATATAATGCTGCATTCCATTCAAAGTCTTAAGTTGAAAAATCTCTGCTTAATATTGCAGACTGAAAGTTAGATATGGAAAGAAATTACAATGCTAGCATTTGGTTTTAGGATGACCAATTAAAAATACAAAAAATATTTTAAAAAATGTTAATAATGCAGTGGGAAATTTGATAATCATATTTTATTCAATGTAGGATGTTGACTACAATGCAGTATAAGTAATGGTACAAGCCAATTAGAATTTAAAAAAAGTTTAATGCAAAAAATGCTGTAAAAATGTACTGTCTAGCTATATTTTATCATTTACATTAATACACACCAATAAAATAATGAACAGCATATACCTACACTACCGTTCAAACCGTTTTTGAAGATTTATATTTCATATGCGTTTCTATTGATCAAAAAATCCCGAAAAAATGCATCATGGTTTCCACAACAGCAGCACAGTATTTTTCAACATTGATAATAATAAGAAAAAATAAGAAGAATGGCTGCTGAACATTCAGCTTTGACATCACAGGAATAAATTACATTTAAAGATATTTAAATAAAGCATTCATTTTACATTCTAATATTATTTCACAATATTTCTATTCTTACTGTATTTCTGATCAAATAAATGCAGCCTTGGTGAACATAAGAGACTTCTTTCAAAATCAAATCATACCAACTTACTGAAATCATTTTAATTTATATAAAAAAGTAGTCATGAACAAATTCGTTTTGAATTAATTCAGTGGGATTTTGACAGTTTAGAGGAAATTAATCAAACTTTCTAAATTTTACTTGAAAAGCCATATTGTAATTCAAAACCAAAATTTACCAACAAATTTTAAAAACAGAAAATATTAAATTTCTCTCTAAATTATCCTATTAATGTGAGACAAGAAATAATTGTGAAACAATGGCCAAATAATGTGTAATGACTGCAAATCAATGTAATATTCCCAATGTTGCTTTATTTTATATCGCCAGCAAAATCTCTATAAAAATATTATCAGTATTCGATACATCAGCCAGAAACTCTCAAGCTGACAGATTCTTCTCTTCTACACACAGGTGAGAAGTTTGAGCTACATGCAGGCACAGAGTCTACGCCCAGCGTGGTGGTCCATGTCTGTGACAGTGATACAGATGAGGAAGAGGAACCAAAGAACAACCCTAAACCAAAAATCATCCAGACCCGACGCCCAGACCTGCCAGTCTCGCACTGAACTCTACAGCTCCACAGAGTCAGGAGGATTTATCCCCTCCACCATCTCCTTCACAGGACCTCTGCCACCCTCACTCAGAACCTTGTTAAACACACAACCAGGGTCTGAGGAACTCTAATACATGTTTCTCATTCAGCACACACATGTATACAATACTAAATGTGCTGTCACACAATTTTATTTTTATGTTGCAATACTCTGTGTTAAATATGGCCGCTCTCTGTAACTCTTTCCCAATCTGACTCTGTTGTAATGTCATCTGATCACCAGTTAGAGGCAGCATGTAACCGTCCCTGCTCTCACCTACATTTCTGATTGGCTCCTGGGCTGTGGCACATGATAGTGTCAGATGTGCTTACTGGCTGATAGCTGGCCACTTGGCTTTGCTCTTGCACCACAACTATGTACCATTTGTACCCAGCAAGCCATTAATAATATTACATTCTTCATAAGGGCATGCTAGCCGCTAAATGTGGCTAAACACCAGCGCTGCATGTGGCACCCTTAGAAATATATCTTCCCTAACAAATTTCTGTCAAATAACCCTAGTATGGCAAATGGTTCACTTTTGCAGAGCAAAAAGTGCAGACCACAAGAATCATTCTCTTCAGGCCAGTGCATGTTCTGGTAGCTGTTTCCCGCTGTGTATAACCGTCTCTGTGTCTCGCCAACAGTGTTCTTGAAGAAAAACAATGCTTTTCCAAACGATAAGCTGACATTTTGATCACACCTTTCAATGGAACCTATATGAGTTGCTTCCTCAATGTAATTTTTTTTTTCTTATGCCCTTTTCAAGATGGAAACCTTAAAGAACTTTTTTTTTCCTGTAAGCTCCCATTAGAGATTAGATGACATCAATGGGTAATCAGATGTCATTTAATGAAGTCTGTATCATGCACGGTTACTCGTTTCTAGAATTTAATGTAGTTGTCCAAATCCATAGCTCTCCTCGTAGTCTGTGAGACTTTCGCACACAAGTTCATTTCTAATCATGTCAAAGAAAACATGCACAGTAGGATGCTACTGAGACAGATCTTCCAAGTGCTATTACACAGTGGGTAACAAAAAGCAAACGTTACGAGGATGATGTCGACCTTCCTTATTCAATCAGTATCTTTTTGGTGTGCCTAACTCATTTATGGATTATTTAGCTAAAAAAATTTATTTATATATCTAAAGTACATAACATCATGGCATGCACACACTTTATCCATAGATTTGAGTCGCAAAGGCACTATAAAACCCGAATAGTCGGCAAAACATTAGTTAGTTATGGTATAAAGATTATATTATTTCTTCCAAGATATATAAATGTCACCCATCCCGGAAAGTACATCAACACTGTGATGTGTCATTAATGTAATCCTTGACTGACGCCCTACGTTGAAAGTATTATTGTACGAGTATGTTGTAAATTTAAGGAGGTTATCTGGCTTAAACATCTGTTGCTCAGTGTTCACGACTTGTTAAGGGTGGTAGCTATTTTTCACCATTTTTCCTCAAATCTCTGTTGAATTGGATTGCTCTTTGATCCAAATGCTGTAGGTTTGCAACTCATCTGTCTGTGTCCATTAGCCTGAAATAATGTAGAAATAATACACCCCATCCCCCTGAAGCAGTGACTCTTTCACTGTTCTGGAAACAGGGTACTTACTGCTCTCTCTTGACATCACCGTCTGCATTGTGACACACAGATGTTTCCTTATGCTACCACAGCCTCAAGCCTTATTTGATTTATTGCTCACAAGACGAGCAGTGCACACTCTGGTCCTCTTCTCTGAAAAAAAAATTAGGCATAGGATCAGTACACGTCAATAGGATAAATGTGTAAAAGAATGGGACAAGAGCAATATAACAAAACCGATACCAACCAACCGTCCACTGCCTTGGACTTTCCTTTCCAATTCATTATTGCCTGCTTGGCCAATCAGCTCTTCCCATATTCTCTCCTCACAATGACAAAAATCTATTGCAGTCTCACACGCTGCCAGCCTTCCTTACCGTCATGTAATTTAAGATTTTTTTTATTGTTCTGTATTGCACTTTCTTATTCACATGACTGTACACAGTATCACTCAGTAACTGTATTTCCTTTTATTTTTCATGTACTCCTGAAGACATGATATTATCTCTGTTCTTAAAGTCTTTGATCTGGAGTTAGTGTCACTGATGTTGGGAAACAATATCTGTATTGTGTATACTCGTGCAAGACCATTGGTGTTCTTGTCATCTACATGTGCGTCCTGCCTGCCGACACTAAGGAGACATATCTGTATATATTAATCAATAATATTTTTACTGCATTTTTGTACAAATATTCATGGTAGCCATGTACAAGTAGTTGAGATGATTCTTTGTTAGTATTAAAAAAAAAGTTTGGTTTTAAAATCGGTCTTGTCATTGGTCTGATGACTTGTGACGGTTATATGTACAGTATAGATAAATCAACATAAATGTGACAATTTAATAATATTTAATTATGGTACATGAGACACATGCATAGGCTAAAAATAAAATATATATTTTTGTGAAATTCACCAAAAAATAAAAATTGCCAAACAAGGTAATCGCCAATGCCCATAGTCTCAACATGGCCAACCATTGTATGTTTTATCGTCCTTGCCGATATATTGGTATTTCACTAGTTAACTTGAATTTTATAAGTACTGTGGAGCAGGGGCGGTGCCAAAGACTTTTGAATGCAGGTGCTAAGGGGGTGCTAGACAGAAGGAGCTGGGCAATTCAGGGCTCCAGACTCATTCTTCCCACTGGTCGCTCTTTTGCGATTAACTTTCTCAGTTGGTCGCACGAGCACATGATTTTTTTTTTTTTTTTTGCTACAACATGGGATTAATCAACGCATGCTGATAAACTTTTATCATAGTTTATAGTTATATGGAAACAGGTTATTTTTTTTTTTTTATATGAATAAAATAAATATAAGGAAAACTCGCCCACTCGATTTTGTAATATTCTTTAATTTTGTAGTCCGTATAAAAAGGTGCATTTCTATTAAAGGCACGTCCATGTGGAGACATCACCCTCGGCATTCGGCAACTTTATCTTTGCACCCGACACTGACTCAGAAAGCACTAGTTTATTAATAAATAATTAAAATGTCTTCTTTCCCCCCCCCGACACATTCAGAATCATTTTGCCGGTGCTTTGAGGGAATTGCTTTATGTGCGAGCTTGAGCGCGGAATAGGCTATAGCCTAATACGCCTGCCTATATAATTAAAGGATGGTTAATATATTATTATAATAATCAATTTAATATAACGTGCAACTAGTTGGCTAGAAAAAATCTTTAGTCGGGGGCAGGCCTACTTAGCAGAAGGAAGCGCTCCATTTTTTAAATAAAATGCTATAATGACATTACGAAAAGTGCAACAGCTGCAAATCACGTTGTTATTGCATTGCACGAGTTAATTAATTCTTAATTATCTTAATTAAATCTTAATTATTAAATACAATAGGCTATAGCATGTATATAATTGATTCCAAGAAAAAATCTGTGGGGGTGCTATGCCGGTGCTTTTGTCTTTCTTGGGGGTGCTGAAGCATCTGCTAGCCCCTCCCTAGCGCCGCCCATGCCATGGAGTGGGATGTAATAGTCCATAAAACTGAAAAGTCTTTTTACTTTTTGACACGACAAAGAGTCCAATAGAGCCACGAGTTCATCCTCAAATCTTCATTAACTGACTGCACCCCGTGTTAAAAGAATCACATTTTGTTGCTTTTGCATGCTGCAGCCTGTAATGAAGACAGACAGTTTTTGTTTTATCCAGCTGTATTTACTCAGTGCAACTTATAACATCCAAGTGTGATTATTTAAATGTAGTTATTTTAATATAGGTGATTCTTTTCTATACCCACTGTATATTTTGGGTGGAGAGGGGAGCATTTGAGTCGCGTGTAGACCAGAAACTGACGGTTGCAGCTCCGTTGGAGAAGAACTGAAATCTTAAACCATTTCAGGTGACACATAGCTCATATTTCCGCCGCTGTAGGTTACAGAAACCACTAATAAAACCCTGCAATACAGCAGAGAGGCTCTCTCTCGCATTGCATGACTTGACAGACAACTAGTTGTCCAGTCAGGTTCCGTTCACACAGCGCGGGCTTTCAGAGAATGCGATTGAGTCTTGAAAATGTACGGGTAAATAACCGTACTGTGAACGTAACCGTATTAAGGACTCAAATACAGGTCTGACAACAGTATTCTGCTGCTGTGCGAACGTGGCCTTATAGAATGTAACGTCAGTTGTCACACCCGTAAATAACTATCCGTTTTAAGGACTTTGCCACTTGTTCTATAATAACGAATTAAACTGCCTAACATTCATCATTACTTATAAACAGCGGTATATTACCTTTGTGGACAATATCGCTTCTTCCTGGGTAACAATATGATTCAAGACGATCTGAAAACTGAACACCTGTACGTTAGGCCTGATACGATGTCCGATTCATTTAACGAATCGTTCATTCGATTCTTTCCTGTGAATCACGGGGACCGGTTCTGAAAACTGAATCATTCCAGTGATTCTCGGGTCAACAACTCACTGTCTCACACCTTTACTCAACCGAGGACAACCCTTACACAGCTTAATGACAAATACGTAGGAAACGGATTTTACCGGAACGTTTTAATCTATGAAATGTGCCATACCGTGACATTTGGAACCACGTGATGATACAATTACATCGTGCAGTTTTTGAATCGGTTCTTTGAAACAAAAGATTCGACTAGAGGATATGAGTCGTGCTTAGCATCACTATTGATACATTTTAATAGTCTGCCCTCTAATGGAGTGGCATTGACGCAACGGGCTAAACGGAGCAATTTAAGAATTATTTTTTAAAGTATATTACTGTTAACAATTTCTCATTTCCTGACCTTCTATACTCTTTGAGATTCGTTTGGAGCCAGAGTCTGCGCAGTAGTGTCGTGAGGTGGAGCCGCGGTATCAAACTCCCGCCCAAACTCCCGAAGACCCAATCAACCATAACGACACGCCCCGTTTTTATAGCATCAAATTGCTAGCTAAAATCAAACTTATCACAAAGACGAACAATTAAACATATATCAGCGTGATAACAACTACCTTAAATGACCTTAAATCTTTCGGAAAATTGTATTGGAAGTCTAATTTTTATTTGTATTTTTTTGACTCAAGTCCCATTCGTTTCCATGGAGAGGGCGGGGTTTATGACCTGTACTGCAGCCAGCCACCAGGGGGCGATCAAAGAGCCCGCAGCTTCACTTTTCAGGACGTGTGAGGCACACCGGGTCAGATGGATCAGACACTTTAGATAGAATAATGATAACATGACAATGATAATGACATTATAATATATTTGAATTAGGTGGCCAATGCCAATGATCAAATGTGCTTTTAAAGTTGAGATTCAGCAGCTTACAACAATAACCAAAATGTGTACACTTGTTTTATTACTTCAAGAGAGAAAACATGCATAAACCACAGCTACTTATGTCCCAATTTATCTTTAAGGATATTCACTGGTGTTTATTTCAAGGTTGAGACGATTATTATTTTAGAAGAGCTAAATTATTTTTTTTAAAGTAAACCTTTAACAGAAGGCATCATCTCAATAATATAAATAAATCTCCATTTGATACACATTGTATACAATTTGACCCATTTTTATAATGGCTGTCTGCAAATGCAGTTTCACTATCCACCTGAAGATGGCAGTCATACCATCTGTTACTGCTAGTGCTAACTACTCAAACCTTAAAAGGAAACTTAGGCCTGGTTTCACAGACGGGGTTTAGACTAAACCAGGATTAGGCCATAGTTCAATTAGGAAATTTATTTTAGAAGAGCTAAATTATTTTTTTTAAAGTAAACCTTTAACAGAAGGCATCATCTCAATAATATAAATAAATCTCCATTTGATACACATTGTATACAATTTGACCCATTTTTATAATGGCTGTCTGCAAATGCAGTTTCACTATCCACCTGAAGATGGCAGTCATACCATCTGTTACTGCTAGTGCTAACTACTCAAACCTAAGAGGAAACTTAGGCCTGGTTTCACAGACGGGGTTTAGACTAAACCAGGATTAGGCCATAGTTCAATTAGGAAATGTAAGTAATTTTTATAAATGCGCCTTAGAGAAAGCATTACAGGTCTGCATCCTGAGACAAAACAAAGGCACTGATATATTTTAAGATCAGTCAGTGCAAGTTTCTTTCAGTTGAAACAGCTCAGACTTACATTTTAGTCTGGGACTAGACTGAAACCGGGGTATACTGTTAAAACTAAACTAAATTTCAGCTAAATTCCACATTTATCTCTGTAGCGTTGAGACTAGGCTGCAATAAAATAGCGATCAATCTCATTTAAATATGATGTAATTTGAATGTCATTATATTGCATTATGTAAGCAAGAATCCCAGTGCTTGCCTTTTTAAAGTCAAAATATAAATGAAAAGCCACCACAACTCCTGATAAATCACACAAGCAGGTGTGTATGAATAATAGAAGCAAATAGCAAATCGTTTTTTTAATTTAATACCTTTTGGTCATGTGACCATCAGGCATTGCATATTTCTTTAACCTTTAAATTGAAATATATATATACTTTTGTGACCTGAGTCACTAACTTGGCTAGTCCAAGTAAACTGTGTGTGTGTGTGTGTGTGTGTGTGTGTGTGTGTTCCAGGCCCAGGTTCCAGGACCGAAGTGCGTGCGTCACTGAGTGTCCTTGTTTCACAGCATTGCAGAAAGCAGCCTGTTAGAAGCTGTGCCAGGCC